TGCCTGGGTCTTATCTGGTCGTCTAATCTGCCGTTAGCGCCACGATGTTCCTCACTCGGCCAACTGTCTTAAGTGGACGCTACTCTGGAAGAAAAATCAGAGCTATATGGTTGGCTGGGCCTCACCGGCAGCCCATCTCAGCGTCATGAACAGGCTTTCCACGCTGCCCCACTCGCAACGCCTCTTCCTTTTGCACTCCAGCCCTAGCCTAGCCCCACCGGCGACGGCGAGGTTAGCGGCGACGATGGCGAACCACACCCCTCCCAGCGATGCAGATCAGGCCAAGACGGGGGTACGGCGAACCACATCCTCCCAGCGATGTGAATCAGCCACGATGGAGGTGTGATGGCCAGACCGTCACATCCTCTTTTTTACGGGCATCACATGCATCCTTCCCTGCCTTCGTCGTGGAAGATTTGGCGAATCGGTCACATCCCAGGTGGATGAGATGAAGGTGTTATGCGGGAGGGACAGGCAGATCCCTTGCCGGTGGAGGCTGCCATGAGTGGTGATGAGGTGGGCAGGTGGCCATGGTTAGATCCTTTCTTATTGACACTGTTTTTTCCCTTCCAATCCGCCACAGGATGCTGGTTCTGGTATGTTGGTTTGGGGATCTAAGGGCTAAGGCAGATTTGCAAAAAAGACCATACCATTGGGTTCCGACTCTTTAAAATTTCTGCAGGTGCTCTTAGATCTAAGTTGAGGTATTGGAATCCTAGAGCACACGATTTGCAATGTCTGTTGACCAGGTTAGTTTCCATGTTCTCACATATATAGTATCATCTTAATATCCAAGCATGTGCGCCCATGATTGATGCTACTGGATATGTATATGATATCTATTGCCCTCGAATTAAATCTTTACCCAAATGGTATGTAATGTAAAACTAAGCCCGACCGTGTTAATTAATGCACCACAACAATCACACATACCCTTTATTTTCCTGTTACAGGGAATCTCCAGACACGAGAAAGTATGTATCTACATCAGTAAATTTCTTAGCTTCTCTAGAAATACGATTTTGGTTTGTTTTATTTATTAGCACTACCCCAATTCACATTGGATTTGTATGCACACTTCTGAAAGTAAGGTTGTATGGTCGCAACATATTCTTGTCAGGACTGCGGACACTTAGCATAATATATTGCTGCATATATATCAGACTAGATAGAGCAAGCGTTTAACTGTTGATTTATGTAGCATAATATTGTGATGGTACAAAGTTTGCAGCAAGGTTTATAGTGCAACAAAACAAGGCGTTGTTCATTCTGCAATAATTGACGGAAGGTTTGCCGGTATACCTTTCCTCACATCACATTACCTTTCACCAATAAGTTGCATTTGTCATGATCTGAAACTCATTATGCGTTTCAAATCTTTAAGCATTAATCATCGGGTGTTGAAAACGATAATAACTTATTGATAGGATCCGCCATATACGGCCATCTCCTTTCTTAAATATTATTATGGCTTTGGACTTGGGAATTCACTTTTGTTTCCTTGTGGTTTATTTCTAGGTATCATTTAGGTAAGGCCAACGCCCAAAGTTGTTCATGGAACTTAACATCAGAATGGCTTGGCTTTCTTGAGTAGAAAAGACGACAGAGTTATTTTATTGTCGTAGTGTGCCTATTCCGAAACAAGAAATGAGTGCTTTGCAGATTTTTTTAAGTAATATAATTAGAATGAATGAAATATGCGAGGATTGAGCTCCTGAGTTGTGTAATTGTTTTAAATATTTTTGGTTATTTTTTGCTGTTCTTGTGAAAAAGTTGGATAAAGGAGACAAGGTGGTTGGTGAGAAGACCCAGATCATGTATGCTTCTGTATCAAGGACTTTTCTCATACCTAGCCCAAGATGAGCAGTTCTACATACAGACAATATTATCAAGAAACATTCTTGTGGCAAGAAGCTCAACAAAAATCTTAGAAATTCTCAAGTCAATCATGCATGCTCATGTATGTGACTATGTGGTATGTCAGGCTTTGTTCATATATATCCCCACAAACATGGTCTTAAGTTGAATGTTGATCCTAAGTAAGAAGCTTAGAAGAATTCTTGTGTTACAAATTTACAATATATGGCTTTCATGACTTGTGCATAGCGAGTGATAAGACACTACATGTAATGCCACCTATTTTTTTTTTCCAACATATCATTTCTTTATTATTTTCTGCTGATTTTGCTACAGTTATGTGTTTGACAATATTCTTATAATTTGTATGAAAAAAATAGAAGTTTACAATTGATAAGGCTATATGTTTTTCTTGGTTAGTTAAGAGCAAAAGATTGGTTTCTGGACCGAGTATGGAAGCAATCTATGTTAGCCATGATTATTTTTGTAGTGGTATTCTACTCTAAACCTTGTCTCAGCGTTCATGCTCCAAGTTGAATACCAATCTTCCAATACATATTCTTCCAATCCTAAAATCTGGAACCCCTATCAATCCTGATCTGCAATTTCATTACTAATATGACCCTCTACCACTACAGACCAAATAAAACTATTATTCTGTTTATTGACAAATACCATGTTATGGCTTAGTTTACGCAATTGTGGCAATGCCTACCTTTTCATTGTAAAAATGGACGGGCGCGGCAACGCGCGCCATCAATGATTTAGTATATATGTAATCCATCGATCAACGAAAACAGACTATTCATTCTTGCAATTCTCTTTTAACAGCATGCATGCCATCCAGAGCTGATCCGAATGCTTCGGTACGTAGTACCTGACAAGGTGGGTCACGACCTTTGTAATTGGGCCAGGGTGACGCGGCCCAGTACAGGGGACTGTTCTGGGCCGTGAAAATCGATAAAGAAAAGAGAGTCCGGCACGGATTGAGGAGGGAATCCATCCGGTCCCGGCACGTACCGGCCCAAACGGGAACGAGTTCTTCTTGGACAGCAAGTCCGGCAACCCCCTCCGGTGGGGGCCATAATAAGAGCGAACGCAAGCCGAAGCCAACCAAACCCAAACCACAATCCTTCCGATCCCCAACCTTCCTCGGCGATCGCCTCCGTCGCTTCCGACCTCCGGTGCCTCCCGCCGCTTCCGCCGAGCTCGATTCGTTCCCCTCCTCCGCGCGTCCTAGGTAAATATCCGGATCCTCCCTCCCCAGCCTCCTCCTCCTCCCCTCGCCGGCCTGATGCTGAATCTGGCTTGGTGTCGCTCCGCGATTGGTTTCCGCGAGGTTCTCCGACCGCCGGTCGGTGCTCGCGATCTCTAGTTGTAGTTGCTAGTCGTGGTCGATTTCGAGCTCTTTGGAGGTACCGGGGGCTTGGGGGTCCAAACAATCGACGACCTGGCTAATCTGCTTGCTTTTTTTTAAGCTCAAATCGGTGCAGGGTTGGTCCTACTCTTGAATCTAGTTCGTCAGCTGTGCGATATTGGAATTAGTGCGAGGATTGGCTTGTTTACATTGCCACGATTGTGGATTTGTTGCTTTGCCTGTTTTCAAGGTTCGTTAATGTTTGTGTAACTGAGCTTGGTTCGTTAATGCTGCTCCAGTCGTGGCCTGAGGGTGCCAGAAGAAAGCTTGCCCTGCCAATTGATGTTGTTTGTTCTAGTAGTTTTGTTGATTTTGCCGTTTAGGGCTACAAGTGCAGATTAATATTTCAATTGCAGATTACCTTTATAGGTTGGAGTTTGGTTAACTGAGCTGCTTGATTGTTTGGTTGGTTTACTAGTTATGTATCTCGTTAGAATTAGTTTCAGATTGATCTGTATGTATCAACACAGTATGTTTTCCTGTTATCCAGTTTAGTTAATGTTTGATTAATCTGATTTGATCATCATCTGTACAAAAATCTAAAAAATAATACTAAAGCCGCGTCAATTAACATGGATCGAGGGAGTACTATAATCAATCCCTGACATTTGTTGTTAGTATTTCTGTGGATTGTGCTATTTTTCAGTGCGGATTAACTTTGTAGGTTGGAGTTTGATTAGCCATTGTTCAACCAACTATTCTAGCTTGGATGCTTGGCTGGTATGGTAGGCGCTGTAATCTAGCGCTGTGCTGATGTTGCAACTGGTGTCCATGAGTATTTAGTATTTACAAATCTGGTTATATTTAGTTTTAAGGATTGATCTTTATGCATCTGTGTGATTGTAGTTTTTCTTGTTATGAAGTAAAATGATGTTTATTTAGTATATAAATGATTTGATCAGCCGATGTACATATATAGTAGATAACTACTTTTATTGTGGCTTCAAGGTGTTGCAAGTATACTTTTCCTTCGAATGCTACCTGTGACTCTGAGAATGTGAGCATGCTGATATCATTGGGAATCAAGGTTTTAGAATCTAGTATTTTCCTTGTTAGATAATTCCATGGTAGGATCGTAGGATCATTGTAATTATGTCCATTTGACTAGGGATATGCGTTCTGGTTTGGTTTTAGTTTGATTGGCAGACTGGATAGCTATTTGACGAACAGTTTGCTGCATATTGTGAATGTTGTGCGCATCGGGTAGTAGGGCAGAGCTTATAATTTTTTTTCTTGTGATGGGAGTCATGTTTGCTGGTGGCACTTGTTCTTTTTAGTTCACCTCTTCTGAGATGCTTGGTTTTTCATTCAGCTGGCTGATGTTTTAGGGTATTTAGGTCACAGAACAGGTGGCAAGTATGGCCCTCTGTTTTGTCCATGGTTTTTCATACTTTACGCTAACTTTAATTCATATATGATCTATATATGCTTGCTCTTGACTTTGAAATTATCAGTTTGGTCCATGCTCAAATTGAGCTCATGCCTAAGTTGTTTATCCTTTATACACATGTGTATATGTTAGAACCTTGCTATATAAAAACTAAATGTCGCAACTGTGGAAGTTTGCCATTGCTGCTTGTTGAATTTACTTGTTTGTTTGACTACCTTTTTGAAATTAGGTAGATGACATTCGCTGCTCGGTGCCTTCATGTGTTGCATAGATGAACCTATCTCATATTGCTAAGCTGACAGCGCCCTCTTGTTCCTGTTTTGCAGACTAGCTCCAATGGGCTTCATCCAGAGCACCTTCTCGCTGCTGGTCGGCGCCGCGGGCGGCATCTACATCGCCCAGAACTACGACGTTCCCAACATCAAGAACTACATGCAGGGCCTGATGGGCAAGGCCAAGGAGCTGGACCATGCCTACAAGAAGCCCGAGGACGGCAGCAAGAGCAAGGCTTAGTCAACCCGCTCCCCCCACCGCATCCATGAGAGCATGACCGACCGTTTAGCATGCTAATTGTTATCACTATCACTTAGTACTTAGTAGGTTCACTATATATGATTTGAGGGATGACTCTGTCCACTCCGTTTTAAGACTCTGTCCTGGGGATGAAAAATAGCTGATGATGGCGGCACGTTTGTGAATGAATTAATCGATGGAATGACCTGTTAGACTGCATGATTCGTGATGATTGTTCATTTGTGGAGCCATTTTCCGTTTGACTTGCATCCTGATGATTGTTCGTTTGGTCCATTAGTCTATGCCAAGGTTGTTAAGTTTTGCGCCAATGATTTCCTGTGAGCGCGTCAGCTCAGATTCTCCCGCAAATTGCCAGTAAATTGTTGGACTTTTGCTGCTGAGTTTTTGTTTTAGATTCTTTCGTCTTGGCTTGGGTTGCATCTGGCATGGCATGGCATAGTCTGCACTCACTGAGCGGTGGGTCCCACCTTCCACCAAGGTGCCCCCTCGCCCTCCACCACGTAGCACCCACCCAAGCGCCACGCCGCAAAGCAGAGCAGGGCCTGCCTCTCCCATTCAGCGCCTTTCTCGCTTGCTCCCTCCCCCCACTTGCCCACCGAGCTCCTCAAAGCTCAAGAAGCAACCCACCCTCGCCGGAGCAGCACACGCACGGCGGCCATGGCGACGGCGGCGTCGCTCCTCCTGGCGCAGGAGGTGGACCCGTGGGCGCCGGGGTTCTGGCGGGACTTCGCGATCGGCATGCTCAAGCCGCTGGCGGCCACGGTGGTGGTGGCCATGGCGGTGGCGCTGAGCTTCACGCAGCGGCTGGGCGTGGAGGCGGAGATGCTCTACGCCATCGCGCGCTCCTTCCTGCAGCTCTCGGTCATCGGCTTCGTGCTCCACTTCATCTTCACCCAGAGCAGCGCGCTCTGGATCCTGCTCGCATACCTCTTCATGGTCACCGTCGCCGGCTACACCGCGGGGCGCCGCGCCCGGCAGGTCCCGCGCGGCGGGTACATCGCCGGCGTGTCCATCCTCGCCGGCACGGCCGTCACCATGTTCCTGCTCGTGGTGCTCAGCGTGTTCCCCTTCACGCCCCGCTACATCATCCCCGTCGCCGGCATGATGGTCGGCAACGCCATGACCGTCACCGGCGTCACCATGAAGAAGCTCCACGAGGACGTCAAGACGCAGCGGAGCCTCGTAAGTCAATAACAATCTAGGTCTTCGTCTTCCGTTCCGGCACCGCCGCGCGCGCACCAAGATCATTTTTTCTTGAAACAAAACAAAAATGCTACCCTGTTCATGTTGTTTGTTCACTCATTTTAGTCTGTATGTAGTTCAAATTGACATATATAAAACATTTTATATTTGTGAAGAGACGAAGTAGTTAACTTTGTGTAGGTCTTTGCACCGTCAATAACTTCGTGTAGGTCTTTGCACCGTCAATAATTTTGTTAGTATGATTGAAGTATAATATCGTTCATGCCATTCTGCATTAGCTAAAGGCGTGTGCACTCTTTTTCCATTCAGTTTATAAAATACATGATCATGGTCTCCACGACTACGCAACCTTTTCTTCCGAAATTTTAAACAAATTCAGCAAGAAACTAGCAGTACAAAATTCTGAACTTGGTATTTTCATCACAAATTCAGAGAATCGACTCCAGGTGACGCTTCATTTTTCTGACCGTTTCATCGCAGGTGGAGACTGCGCTGGCGCTGGGGGCGACGCCGCGGCAGGCGACGGTGCAGCAGGTGCGCCGGTCGCTGGTGATCGCGCTGTCGCCGGTGATCGACAACGCCAAGACGGTGGGGCTGATCGCGCTGCCGGGGGCCATGACGGGGCTCATCATGGGCGGCGCGTCGCCGCTGGAGGCCATCCAGCTGCAGATCGTGGTGATGAACATGCTCATGGGCGCCTCCACCGTCAGCAGCATCCTCTCCACCTACCTCTGCTGGCCGGCATTCTTCACCAAGGCCTTCCAGATCGACAACTCCGTCTTCGCCGACTAGCCCATGACCGGGCAAGCAGCTGCTCTGTTTTCTGTGTGATGACAATGACAAATAATTTTGTTTTTCTGCACCTCAAAGTCGTTTGGGCTGAGTCCGCATGTTTTCATGCTGAATTTCGTCCGTCAATTCTGGGCTTGTGCCATTTTTTAACTTTGGCGACATTTATGAAACGAATATATCATCATATCCTCCCGAAGCTATTCTGGAAATGGCCTGCACAATTTCCAGCGAGTCGCATTCGCCATTCGCACTAGGGAAATTGACTAGTGCGTCTAGAGATCAGTACTACAGAGCAGCAATTTACAAAATGTTGCTTGCCCGCCCTTTTGGAGGAGCATCGAACAGTTGAAAATGGCAGCAAAATTGCCACATGTTTGGTCAGGAGCAACAATTTTGCCCCAGCGAAGCAAACACAACACCAATTCAGAGCACAACGACACATGACCAGCATCAGAACAGGGTAAGCATAGCACCACACAGAATTCAGGTACTTATTAGCAAGTCATATCTTGTCACAGACGCAGACTAGAGTGCCAAATCATATAGAGGAAAGGATGGAAGCTCCACGAGATCGAGCAGCGACCACACACCACCCTGCTTAGATACATCTCAAAGGCTTTCCCTGACCAAACCAAGTTCTGGAAGCCTACACAAAGAGTTTAGGTAAAAAAATTTTTTGATTCATCAGCCATGGTGAAGCTACTAGCTAGCGCGCGCATTACTTCCACTTCTTGAACTTGCCGCCGCCGCCGAACATGCCGTGCTTCCCATGCTTGCCGTGCTTGAACTTGCCGTGCCCGTGCTTCCCGTGCTTGAACTTGCCGCCGTGGTGGCCGTACCCGCCGCCGTAGCCTCCATGGCCGCCCATCATGCCTCCCATCATGTGTCCACCTCCACCGTGGCTGCCGTGAGAGATCTTGTGTGCTCCGTAGGCGGCGGCGGCAGCTGCTGCGCCTCCAGCCAGCATGCCGCCCATGCCCATGCCTCCTCCTCCATGGCTACCACTGTGACCTGAGAAACAATAGCCGATGAGGATGGATGCTCAAGAGTGATACACGTTTGATACAACAGATTTTATAAACCACTACTCGTATCCTGAGATGGAACTTGGCATATTATTGAAGATGCGGCGCATACCACACATATATAAATGGATATCAATCCAGCACACACTACACATATAAATGTACATCAATCCAGTGCATACTACACATACGACCTGAGAAACAATGAGGTTTGATACAAGAGAACTTGGGACTCTTTACATCAAGATAAACCACTACTCATATACGAGACCGAAATGGCATGTTGTTGAAGATGCAGCGCATAATGCACATATACATGCATCTCAACTGTGGAAATATAAATGCTAGTGCAAATGGTAGCAATTTATGGAGTCCAACAGGAATGGTATAAAACAAAGGAAGGTTACATACCGGATGAGCCAGGGTAGCCGGCAGGGGGATAGCCATGCTGCTGTGGAGGGTAGCCATGCTGCTGCGGGGGGTAGCCATGCTGAGGAGGGTACCCTTGTTGTGGAGGGTATCCATGGCCACCAGATGGGTACCCATGACCACCAGACGGGTACCCATGACCACCACCATGAGCACCGGCAACGCCGTGCATGATGTTGGAGAGGAGCCCCTTCTCCCCATCAGGGCCTCCCGCTCCAGGTGCAGGAGGGTAAGCCCCAGGTGCTGGAGGGTATGCCCCAGGTGCAGGTGGGTAAGCTCCAGGTGCAGGCGGGTATCCTTGCTGTGGAGGGTAACCTCCCTGCTGCGGCGGGTAGCCTCCCTGCTGCGGCGGGTACCCTGCCGGAGGGTATCCCCCCTGGCCACCGGGTGGGTACCCATGACCATCGTTGCCTCCTCCCATTGCTCTGAGGGAGCTAACTGCACATATCATGATCAGGCAAATGTTAATACATGACAGAGAAATCTTGCTGTCTTTAGGCATAAGAACTGCCATTAAACATGTGATGTATGTAACAGTTGCTAATGTATTTTCTTGTCGGTTAGAGGGCCGGTAGCACCACCACATTGATGTGTTTATGCCAGCTAGAGCAGAACTAGTCGTCCTCGCAACAGAACATTTGACTTGGTAAAAGAATGATATGCTTGAGTGAGTGCTGCGTGCAAGCAATCAGACATGGTCCTCTGACTAAAATAAACAGGGCAGCAACAACCAGCCATCGTGCCTAACTGCCTACCCAATCCTCATTCCAATTTCCAAATGGCCAAACCATGTCCATGTGCCTAACAAGCAGCAATCTATTCATACAAGAGAGGTGAAACATGCATGTGCAGATGTGCTAATCAAAACATGAAGGAAGGGCATACATGTATGATTATTAACCACCAATCGCAATCGGAGAGACTTTGCGGGTTTTCTGAACCACACCCAGTGCAAGTGGAGTAGATTTTAGCTTTTCGCATCATCCTGACTAGGAACTCCACAACAGCACTGATTAATCCATGGCATGACCGATCGATCGATCAAGAGCCGCACCGATCCAACTGACGAAAACCCTCGGGCATGACTTCCCACACACTAACGGCTAATTCGGGCGCCCCCTACCACAGGGGTTTTCTCACGGCAACCAGCCCCAATCCAGATCCCGCGGGGCCAAATCCGTGACCGATCCCCCTTTCCACGGCCTCGACTTGGAAAAATCCCCACCCAGGCCGTCAAACAGGACAGA